TTTGGTAGAGAAGATCGGACAGATTTCGCCAAGGCAAGCTGGGCAGTCGCCTATTGCTCCTATTCCAGATAACCCACTGTACCCTGTCTGAAAGGAAGTAACGCTAGAGTAGACTCGCGAAAAGTGTATAAGACACTTTTAAGATCAACTAAATAGCTAAGCCCAAGGGAAGTCGTTCGGGGAGGCCCTCCCTAATTCCACAAGGGTGAGAAGAAACACACACGATAACGAAACGTTGAATCATGTAGAACTCGTAGGGTAAATGCAAAGCAAAATAGGAAGAATATGCAGTAAGCTAAGCGAAGAGGTAAGCAAGGTTAGACTATACTACAACTACTAAACGTGTTATTTCTACTACTACACTATTACTACATAAAAAAAAATAAAAACGTCTACAATCAACAATTACTTCAAATAAAATAAACTACAAAAACCATGCAAAATAAAAAATTAATTTAATTGTGTCTAATAGAACATGCAAGATATAGAAGTATTTTAACTACGGGATCTTCTTTGTCTTCTCCCTCGTCGATCTGAAACAGATACGGTGGTAACAGATTAATAAAGAGCAATTGAAATTAAATATATCAAACATTCTCACCTTAATTAACTGTAAATTGTAACGTTCCAAAGTTTGCAGTTGTGGAAAGCAAATGAAATCCAAGAGGAATCTATAGCAGCAAATTTATCTTTTTGATAGAGTTCAAATACATCTCTAGTTGCTCTCTCATCCTTTGAGAATTAACTGCATAATGTTGCAAGGTGGAGGCGAAAACTGCAAATCAAGAACAAACTCCAGGAAAACGCCACCCATGTAGACATCAGTTGTTCAGAATGGCCAAATTGATCTTTAATTCTCTTTCACTTATTGGAAAATCTGCAGAAATGGGCAAAAAAACGTATTATTTATGGATTAATTACACTCCTATATAAGATAAAAAAACACAATAAAGACACGCACCAAGAAACAACTAAAATAGCTGAATTATAAAATGATGATCTATATCAAGACAAATAAATGTGAAATAATCATGGATGCACCATAACATCAACTTATGCAGTAGACAATATTTGTTTAGAAAAGTACCACAGGTGCATGATAATATCACTTAATTGTTACAATAAATAAATAAATAAAATGCTGTAGATGCTTGAAAAGTCAACTTATCCTGTGGGCAATACTATAAATACATGATAACTTCAATTTATGCTGTAAAGAGCGACTAAAAATGATTATTATATGCAATCTTACCTTAATTAACTGCAGAAAGTAGCGTTCTAGAGTATATAAGTGTGATGAGCAAGCCAAATTGGGGAGAGATACCACTGCACACAATTTCAGTTTGGTAGTTTCCAAAGAAAAATTAATAGATGCATAACATATCAATGAGCAAATTAAATATCGCATTCTAAAATCAAAAATTTAATAAAAACACTGTTTTCTTTTTCCTAATCTACCTAATTTTCTATTTTTCTATACTTAATTCAAGATATATACATACGTACATATTTAAAACCATAGATGCACGATAACAACCTGTACATTGGAACTACTAAATTAGCAATATATCCATTTTATCATACAATCTATTTTATTCTAATAAACGTAATCTAAATTTTACATAGGGTTGTATTTTTTTTTTAATGAAGTATTTTTGATGCGGCAACTGCAAAAACTCGAAAATTGCAAAGGGTTATGTTTAGGAAGTTTACGTCTATTTATGCAAGTTAGTGCTACTTTGTCGGCGATTTATAGGCAAAATATCAATACTTTTACTGTGAAGGAAGGAACAAGAGATTAAATATGATGCATTTTATTACAAATATTGATACCAGGTGTTAGAGTATTACTGGAAGCTAATAATCACGATTGAGAAAAAGTAAGGTTATTTTGATATTACTTTACTAAATGCATATATTTGGTGGAAAAACACGACCTGCATGCCATGGAAACTGATGAAGATGAAAGAGAGCCAACTGTCGGTACTGCACAAATTCGCAACTTGGTCGAATTTAAAAGATATGAAGCAAGACTTCAAGGGGCATGTCAGTACGACTTTGAAAAAGTATTACTTCAATATGCCAGTAAAAATGTATTTTCCTATCCTGCGTTTAGTAAAATTTGGAAAGAATCAAATCTTAACTTACTTTTCGCGTTAGTAAATTCAATTATGTATATTTAATAAACTAACAGAATAACTATTTTAGAGGACAACAATATGGTGATGATATAGGAAGATTCACAGAGATTTGTATGTATACGGCACTTAAATTATTTATATTTCCTAAAGATATATACACTGAAGTTGGTGCTTTCTACCTACTCTATGCACTCTATTACCGACAACCCGTTAAGTAAGTACTACATTTACATAATACACCTACCAGATGATTCTTAACACTCCAGTATTATAGAGACTTCATTAAGATAAGGTTTACACATAGGGCTTACAAGAATCTCATGAAGTTGGTGAACAAAATGAGAACCAAAAAGCAATATGACTTTCTTTACATTTATGGAAGATTACGTTTGGTAAAAGCTTTTTATTATGTGGCCACAGTGACACCACTAGGGATTAGTTCAAATGAAATGAATCTTCAGGAAATTACACCAGATACCTTTATAAATAGAAAAATTGATTTAACTGAAAGAATCACAAATTTATTAGCAGAAAACTTGGATGACATCAGGCAGATACAAAGTGAATATGTAACAGCTGTAAGACAGTGTTCATGTAAGCATCTAGTTTATTTATTAAATATTATGCTAAATAATTTACATTTTAATTTGGCCGTTTTCTTAATAAATAAATGATTATTGTCTTTTGCAATATGAAATATATATTTTTAATAATGTCTCTGTTCTAGTGCAATACCCTGATCTAGAAATTAGTTCTGACTTGAGCTTTATGCAAGAAACTGAGCAACTTGAGAACTGTGTGAAAACAGGAGGAATTATACACTTTGTACATTCTAGTGATACAAACACACAGTCGGTTGACAAAAGAAAATCGGAATTAAAGAAAAGGGCTTACCAACAAACCAATAAAACGTACAGGGAAAAACTTAGTGATAAATCTGCAAATTATTTACGTTTACTGAAGAGTGAACCTTTAAAAGATGATCCTGATAATTAAACAATAAATTATTGTATAACAATGTTTTACTAATTTTATGTTTTAATGGATACTATGATGCGATAAGAAGTACCAATTACTGACTCTTTACTAAAATAAAATAAAGGAGAAAAAAATTTGAATACTGTTTCTTAATATCCACCATAATTTAAATCTAATGCATTTATTGCATCGATTTTAATCAAGTTCGAAATGAAAACTCGCAAATAAATAAACCAAATAAAACAATATATTTTTAGATACAAAACCCTGAAATACTTACCACAGACTCATAACCATCTGGAAAAGTTAAAATCCTCTCATGAATGTTTGCACTCTTTGCTGCTTGAATAACATCAGCATCGGTCGCTGATAGTCGTCCATATTTGATGTTATATCTTAAAATGATAATCAATTAATAATACAATTAATCAACTAAAACAACCATAATTTAAATTGTACTTTGTTTTCTTACTTGATGGTATTATTAAAGAGTACGGTGTCCTGAGGGACAACACCTATTGCCCTTCGGAGGGACTCTTGTGTCACAGTTTTTATATTTTGTCCATCAATAACTATAGACCCCGTCTCAACATCATAAAATCTAAACAACAATCTAATTATCGTACTTTTGCCGCTGCCCGAAGGTCCAACCTAAATTNCCATATTTGTTACTCTATCAGTTAATATTTAATTTTAACAGTAAATATTGATATAAAATATATAATATGTATCTTTATGGTAGGTACTATTACCGTTTCTGTGTATAAGCAATTTTTTTCAAAAAACAATAATGAATAAATAGTATTGGTCACAAAAAGGCACAGCATAGGCTTATATTGACTTTAGCAGTATCAGGAAAACCAAATAATTAAATAAAATAAAATGTTTGTGCTGCAAAAATAAATTTTAAAAAAAGAACGATGTATTAATGCCATAACAAATTATGTAGAACTTCTTTGTGTAATTAAGTATGTAGTTGGTCGAGAATATATATATTAAGTGAAACTAATTTTATACTGTTTCTTTTGAATATGAAAATATATCAATTTGTTTGACTTAGAAAACCTGTGCTTTCAGAAAGAAAAAAGATAAATTAGAAAATACAAAATTTACAATACTTTGGTTGGAGGCAGGTTGTTGCTTAGTTGTGATTGGCATCGTTCTTGACAGCATTATTTGTAGAGGCTCCACTGGTCAATGACACTAAAATATTAATTTAGCTGAGTATCATGCAATACCTACACAACCCAATAAACTTACCAATCATTATAATAAGAATTATAAGTGCTATTATTCCAATAATAATCATCATCTTCAGGTTTTTCCACCAATACTTCCTTTTCAACTTTTGTGCTTGTTGTTCAAATCTTTTACCCCCTTCTTGAAGTGCATCAGCTCTACTGTCCAACTCTGACAATCTCTGGTCTCTTTCCAAAACCTTTTCAACATTCATTCTCATAATACCAACAACCTCGTTCACTTGCTCTTGAGTTTGTTGCAACATGTTGTTCTTGGGGCCGGACTGACTACCTGAAGCATTCTCCATTGTTCCTATAATATTTGAAATGACTAATTTTTGACCTGTTGCATGCTAAATAACCTGTTGCTTTAGAATAACTTTTCGAACAAAATGTTGTAAATTAATAGTAAATAAATTTATAAAAGCATCTTCAACCATAATTAGTATGTAAAAGAGATTTTAATATGTATAATTAAATTTCAAAGTGCAATACGTATAATAAAAATGGGAGAATGTATACATGAAAATTAAGACAAGAAGATAGCATTTCATATTTCTAATAAATGAAATGGATACTGTGGAATGTTATTAACGTACTTACGTGAATAGTTAAATGCGTTTTCTACAATAACACTCTAAAATTAAACGAATTATCACTAAATGTTATCAATAAACGAAACAAATGTCACCAACGTCATATGTATGTTACTTATCTGGGGATATTTAATAGTTACTTTTAGTTACATGGTTACACCCTGTTATTACCAATTTAAAATTCGAATAATAGCGCGCCGAATTGCAATATGTGATAACACAATGCTTAATCCGTGTTTAAACATTAAAATGAATATTATTAAGTTATATATATAAAACAATACGCACCTAATAAATGTTTGCTACCACACACCATAAAACTTTCAACTTCACATTACTGAAAACATAAAAACTTTGGATCATTTTAGAAGGAATTACAAATATTTTTTTGTGACTGTTACTATCTTTAATAATAGAGAAAAAGGTGAAAAGTGAAAAATATTTGAATTTCTTTTAATTGGATTTCTAAGATGATCTATTTATACGTCTACTTCATTCAACAGGCAAAAACAAAAATAATAAACAAAACAATTAATTAAATTAATTATGAGTGATACTGAGAAGCGCTTTATTTTATGTTCGTGGAGTCTTCTAGGCTCTTCTCAATACTTGTCTCAACAGAACTTGCTTCTTTATTGTCCAATTGCTGCTTCCACATGTTCGAATAAACACCTTCCTGACCAATTAAGTGTTCGTGTCTGGTAAAAAAAAAATTAAAACGTAATAACAACATAATTACTAGAATAGCAATAACGAAATGAGTGATCTGTTTCTATACTTTTTGTAATAAAATTTCAAATATTGACACTCCAAGTATATTAAATAAATAAGCTTTAAGCTTGAGGGGCCGTTTGATAAAGCGTCTAGGACACCCTATATATATTACGTTAAAAAGCAACACTTACTTTCCCCTTTCTACAATTTCCCCATCCTTTAAAACTATAATTTCGTCTGCATGAATTATTGTAGACAATCTGTGCGCCACAATGATTGTAGTGCTGTAAGACAGTGTTCATGTAAGCATCTAGTTTANTGAATATTTCTTTCGGTTTCAGTGTCCAAAGCGCTAGTCGCCTCGTCTAAAAGAACTATAGCCGGAGCTTTCAGGATCGTTCTGGCTATTGCTACCCTTTGTTTCTCACCACCACTTAATTTTAAACCCCTTTCACCCACCTATTAATATTTACCATCAGAACCATACAAAAAAGGATACAGAAGTCAAAAAAATAATAAATAAACCAAATAAAACAATATATTTTTAGATACAAAACCCTGAAATACTTACCACAGACTCATAACCATCTGGAAAAGTTAAAATCCTCTCATGAATGTTTGCACTCTTTGCTGCTTGAATAACATCAGCATCGGTCGCTGATAGTCGTCCATATTTGATGTTATATCTTAAAATGATAATCAATTAATAATACAATTAATCAACTAAAACAACCATAATTTAAATTGTACTTTGTTTTCTTACTTGATGGTATTATTAAAGAGTACGGTGTCCTGAGGGACAACACCTATTGCCCTTCGGAGGGACTCTTGTGTCACAGTTTTTATATTTTGTCCATCAATAACTATAGACCCCGTCTCAACATCATAAAATCTAAACAACAATCTAATTATCGTACTTTTGCCGCTGCCCGAAGGTCCAACCTAAATTGAAAAACAATTTTCAAAATAAAATTTTTGTCTTTTACTAATACAAATCCAAAATTAACAAAAAATAATAATAAAACAGAAAACAGAAATTAATTAAAATAACATTAATATCAATTTCAATTTTATTTTTTACATGTTACTTTTCGACATATGTAAATATAATTATTTTTTGTAATAATTGATGGATTAAATAAATATAGTAAAATTTCAAACTAAAGATAAACGCGAATGTTTATCAGCGTATCTCAATAATTTGCGACAATTTTGTACTATAACATTAAGGTGATTAGTGATAATTAGTAATAACTTGTTTTAAGTAAAAGAGAAAGCTTACCAAAGCTACAGTTTTTCCAGCAGGTGCCCTAAACGTGACATTTTTCAGCACAATCCTTTCAGGAATGTAGCCAAATGTCACATTATTAAATTCAATAGTGGCTCCCTTAACGTTGAGCGGTCCAGCGCCTGGGGCATCAATTACTTCCTGTTCTTCTCTTAAAAGATCAAACATGTTCTCCATGTCAACAAAATTTTTTTGTATTGCCCTAAAAAATAAACAAAATCAATAAAAATACAACGGGAAAGTATGTGGCACTAACCGATAGTATGTTCCAAACCAGTTTAAGGGAACATAAAGTTGGATTATGTAACTGGCAAAGAGAACATAGTCTCCAACGGTTAGACCGTCCTTATTTACCACTAAGAATACACAGAGAAGACTACCAGCCAAAAGACCGCCACATATTATGATATTTTGGACTGTATTTAAAATGTTTAATGTAACAATACTTTTCCACTCTTCATCCTAATTAAACAAAAGAATTTATATGTAAAAAAAACATTGTCAAATTAATCTACCGAGATGGGAACAAAGTGAAAATACAGTCTCAAGTTCAATAAGAGCCTGTTCACTGAGAAATGAATCCTTTAATGCTTTGGAGAATAACTACGTCTAAATCACACAAAACATGTCATTTGTGCACCTTCTAGCCCATTTCCTCATTAAAAGGCAACCTCGGTAATCTTTCATTTGCAATTAGAACTTGATATGGGACGATTTATTTACCTGAAAATTTAAAACTGCGTCCCTAAAGGCCTCCACTTCATACTGTTCGGCCCCATAATACTTAACAGTTTCAAAATTGAGTAATGAGTCTACGCTTCGAGCTCTTGTAGCATTGTCAGCCAAATTCATTCGTCTTTGGTATTTTGTTCGCCATTCAGTTACAACTATAGTCAAAGCTGAAACAATCAATAAATAAAGATCAGAAAAGGGCTCACAATACCTAATAAATAAATAAATCTATTACAGAAGCTTCAAAACAAAATATTTGAAAGGGTTCAACATACTAATAAAGAATAATTGACTTTCCATTTACCTATGTATAAAGTCATTGTAACAAAGACTATAAGTCCAAACCAACCATTAAAGACGGCAACAAAATAGGCAACAGCAATTATAATGTCTATTATTGTAGGTAGTATAGAAAAAAGGATATAATTCAGTAAATTATTAATACTATCAGTTCCCCTGTCCATTACACGTAGGACTTCCCCCGTTTTCCTGTTCAAATGCCATCGTAAAGACAGACTATGCAAGTGTTTAAATAAAGAAACCTAAAAATAAATAAAAAAATATGTACCTAATAAAAGGGGTTTACATTCTTTCTATTTATCAGACATTATGATGTAAGACAATTACACTTCATTTATTTAAAAATATTCTACCCATAAATGAATATACTTGAAAAAATTGATAACATGATTATCTTAATTTGATTTAGAAATTTAGAAAACCCTGACTTACTTCTATTTCTCTTGTCGTATACTGTTGAATTCTTATCCATAAAAACGACCTAAGATTATTTAACAGTCCCATGCCCCCCGTTCCACCCCCTTGCAAGAATTTAAAGGCCACATACGTAAGAATTAAGTCCCATCTAAACACCATGGAACTCACTGTCATGCTGTCCACTGAAAAATATAAAATTACATTTAATTTTTTTTTTATAAATATATAACAACATATCAAACATCGCCTTATTTTTAACATCAAATTTCAAAAATATCCACTTGTGACACAAAAACAAATACATAAAAATGTACTGAAGTTATAATTCTAGACAATAAAGAAATGATATAAAATTATTTTTAGAGTTTTAATCGATCATGATGTATCAAAAAGAAGATGAAATTTACCCTTTAATTCGTTCAGCTGTGATTTATCGTGCGTGCTCATGAGAACTAAAAGGTTTGAAATCACGATCCACAGTTTGGATAAATTACCGACCGAGAACTTAATGCTAAACCAAACCGTTTACATTAACTTACCTATCAATTTATTATAAATGGGTACATAAAGATTGATAATCCTTCCACCAGTGAGAAGAATAAAACAAAAAATTACTCGTAACTGGAGGAGCAGAGACTTCTTTGGCCACAAAAATGGGGCCAAAGTTCTGATTTTTTTCCAAAAGTTTCTCCATGTTGACTGATTATCATTCTGGGACTACAAAAAATACAAAAAGCATTAGATTTCACATTAATTACAGACAAAAAAAAATGAAAAATGGAATGTTCAGAAATGAAATTTTAAAAAACAAAGAAAATTTATAAAGGTATTACAATCTTAGTTTGGGATAACATGTCCTTCCATATTGTTTTTCCTTATTATACAAAAATTATTTATTAATATAAAGCAAATAAAATAGTTTAAAATAATGTAAAATATTTTGACAATGACATAAGAAAGTGGGTTATAAAAAGATACTGACAAATTTTAAAAATCTACTTATTAAACCGAGTGGTATACCTTGAACGATAATTTTACGTGTAAATTCTGGAATTCGACTCCACTGGCTCTTACACGATTCCTGAGACTGCTACGTCTTTTATTCAACCTACTACTGTAAGTCGGTCTTATTTTAAAAAATCTATAAAAATTACTCATTTTAATTTTCCATATTCATCATTTTACAACTCACAAGTAATCCCTATTCGAAAGGAAAAATACGAAAATCCCACTTTAAATAAATTTAGCTACACGCCCCCCTTAACCCTATTTGCTAAATGTGACGGAAATATTACAAAAATAACTTGTAACTTGATCTGTACTATATGTTACTTTTGATTAAATAATTTCATAAGATCACAAAATTGTCCACAAGACAGATAAGAATTTTTAACATTTAAATTACAATGAAGACCAAGCATCCTGTATAATAGAAAAGCACAAATAAATAATGTACATTATAATAATTGATAACTTATGAATGAATAAATAATACTCACAGTTCTAGGAAGATTAATATTTCCTGTAGAGTCATTCAGTCTGAAGTAATCTGTCTCCCCAATGATTCCAGGAGCTTTCAGCCCTAACACAAAAATTATCAGGCAAGAAATGTACCTCAACACAAACAATGACATCTCTATTTGATCTGATAAGCTGGACAAAGAAAAAAATATCAAATAATGATTAAAAGTTACAAAGAGAATGTCTTACTTTCTTAATCCAAACCACCAGTTCTTCTGTCCTAAATTAACAAATGCTAAATTTTCTGATATAAATATAAGAGTCCAAAATATCAGGAGGATTAGCCCATGCCCACGTGTAGGTATTGAAGGCAACAAATACTTTCTCTCATACTTAACAACTAACAAAGAAAATGGATACATAAACGACGTCAGAATAAGGGATAGTATCTACAAAAAACACTGAAATCAAAATCTTACAATCACAAAATTAAAGGAAATTTAACTCACCATGTAACCATAAACAGTTTTATCATTAATAACCGTGGCTTGCAAAATAAACCTAGTAATCTCAAGGACTGGTATAAAGAGTGTGAAAAAGATTTGGGCATTATACAATTTCGATTTGTGTAATTGACTTGGGGACACAACAGTTCCATATTTCTTATATATAAATAGTTGTATTGAACCTGCTATAAGGATAAATCCTGCTATTATAGCAGGTGATATTGTATCCATGAAACATTGGGTTGTGCCATGATTAACCCACACTTGTGAGAAGGTGATATTTGGGGGGCAGTAATGCATTTTTGAAACTTAACCTAAAATTCGAAAATTATTCAGCATAAAGTTTACAAGTTTTTTCAGTCGTAAACGATAGATAGAGATATGCAAATATGTCACTGGAACAAACAATAACGTAAATCAATTACCTTAATTTATTTTTATATTTATCAGAAGTTGGGGTTATCCAATTTGCGACGTAACCGATTGGCCATATCACTCGAAGTCTTCAACTGCGGTTATTTAATTATACAGTTTAATACCGTTTAATACCTTCCTGGTAGGAAGAAATATTTTCTGAACCGTTTCGAACTTTGATAAAGCCTATATCATTCATTTATGTCACAATTTTGCTTGACTCATGAAGGATGACATTTGTTTTTGTTTGTAAAGAAATGTTTTACTAGTTAATTCTTTGCTGAGCTACAAGTTGCCTACATAATTAGCTCTTCCTTTAAGTTGTAATATCTTTCTGTAGAATAAACCTGCAACAAAAATAATATCACTAGAACGAAGTATCTTAATGGAGGATTAGGAATTAATATAAATTTTGCTTTCAAAAAGCATTAATTTTGACTTTTAAAGCATATTTAGAATTCTTCAGAATGCTACTTGCTTAACATGTCTGTATTTGAAGTTGCATAACCACTGTACATTTTTGGCGGCACAAGTTTCAAAAAGTAATACAGTCTGTTTAATTCAATCTACAGCTTGTTTAGAGAGAAGGATATTATTTTTTATTCCTAATAAAAGTTTTTCACTATTTTGGACTACTTAACAATTATTTACTTAAGTCTAAACATTATTTACATGTAAAACGAGTGTTTTCAAGATTAGATAAACGCTATATATATTATCAAAGTTACGGAATTATTTTGTTTTAGTGAAACAAACATTAGGAAGCAATATGCATTTAAAAATAATTTAAACACAAATGTTTTTAATAAAATATGATTCCTTTGCCTCGTTTCGTCGAAAAGACACTAACAATGTACATTTCGCAAAATGTAATAACAGATTTTTAACTTTAAGAATTGCGAAAATATGGTAAATCAAAATGTTTACAAAGGTAATATTTCTTTTACAAAAGGACATAACTAGGTCAGCCACGGTTAGGTCATCATCACGTGCGACGATCAAAATTTGCAAAAATTGAAGGAAAACGCGACTATTACGTATGAATATGCCCAAAAGTTTTAAAAAAAAGGCATATGAAGTATATCAGCGACATTGGCCTTCTTAAGTCAAGCACATTACAGTAATTAATTATTTCAGGGCCAATATGCACCTCTGTGTGCATATTTATACTATAAAGTAATAAATAAACTTTGTTTTATTGTGGAGAAAGGCGTAGAATTATTATCACGTTGTAATAAAAACGAGTAATAATAATAAACACATTTTACTGCATACACAACTTCTGATTTATTTTGAATTTTATTCTTAATGAAATTAGTATATTTTTGTATAAAAAAATAGCAAAATTTACAAAAAAACACTAGGTATGTGTTTAAGAACGAAATTTTATTTTACTTCTACTTACCCACTTCATGTATAGCACGTACTATTGCATGTAAAATTAACTTAATATTGTCATAAATAATTTATGATTTTTTCTATGCCCATAATAAAAACGGGCTAATTACGAATGCGGACAAGCAGGTAAAATTCTAGAATCGTTCCCTTTTTTGTACTATCACTAACAAAAAAAATAAACGAGTCGCTAAAAAAATTTCTTATTTTTTAATTACTTTTCAGCAGCCAACTTTATACATAAACATCTGGTCAGTATATACAGAGTGATTGCTAATAATATTAAAGTATACCTTCGATTGTTAATCTGAATTAAAAAAATTGAACTTTCAACAAAACAAATAAGTAATTTTCGTTTGTTTTTCTTAACAAAACTTCAATATTTATGTTCTTGTTTTGTACATCAATGTTTCATTATTTTTAAGTATCGGAGTGACCGCAATGAATAGATAACGATTAATTAAGAGTTAAGAAGTTTAATACTGTAAAAAGGAAATTAATAGAGCTGGTCATTTTTATTAGTACACGACAGTACACCGTATTTTTTGGCACAAGATAAAACACTAATGCGACAAAATATTAGCACCTTTCGATAGTCAGTTTTGTATATTTTTGTGTTAGTGACGTAGATCATTTACAAAGCAAAACGGAAATACAATATTCAACACATTGATGACGTAGAGAACGGTACGTACTGTAATTTCGAAAATAATATATGACCTCTTCTATCAATGAAAAACAATTATAACGATGCGATGTCGACATAAAACTTTTTACTGTTTCTTGACCTAGACACGGCAAAACACTCCAGCACTTTCAATATTTCTTCTACATAACAAAATACTTACGTTTTTCTACGAAACAATAGGCAAAAACGTACCACATGACAAGACGAAAACAAAGAAGAATATCAAAAAGATATTCAGTTTTTTTTTCGTTGCATTGTTAAGTAGGTATAATTCAATTGTCTTGCATTTTATTAGCACTACAGATACGGACTAAGGACAATTTCGTTCAGTAGAAGTAATACTGCTTTTGTAAACAAGTGAGACATTAATTATTTCGGATTTATTTTATTAAATCTATTAACTGTAAATTATTTCTAATATTAATTTAATTTTGGTAATAATAATTTACACGATTTGACTTCTGTACATTACCACATAAATGCGGTCCTGTGCTATTTTGTTAACTGAATAGAATTTCTGACCGTTGACCCCGGGGTCAGTTTACTGATAAATCGACTAGCGTCCGACCTTTATTTCTTTACAGTTTTGTATTTTGTTAGATAAGATATCGCACTCGTTTGTCGGAAACACCCTGTATAGTGTGTCTAGTACAGTTTTAACTTTTTTTATTGTTTAAACAAACGACAAATCTCAAATTTTTATTTACCGGGCGTTTTATTGTTTGTTAATTCGTAAACTTCCTTTGTTTTTTTTTTATTCGAGTGAATTACTTCGGCGTGTAAAAAATCAACGGAGCGACAGACCAATCCACATAAGTACTCATTCTTATGTTTTAAATTACACTGGCAAGTATTTAACATATGCAATAAAATCATAAAAATGTGTTTTACAATGTCTACACATTCTGTAATAATTAATAAATGAAGGTGCTATAAAAAATATAAATTACAGATATGATTTACGACGGGATATTTGAGAAAGTTTAATTAAAATGGTTAAGCGTAAGCAGCTAATAAAAATTATTTTTCTTTGTTAATTAGGCCTTTACTAAGTCTTAAAAGTTCAATTTTCAATTTTACAGAACAAGAATTTTTATGTAAATATAAATTTTTGTTTAGTTTGTGAATTTAGTAATTTTCGTAAGTATTTTTAAGATAATTTTTTTGAATTGATGTCTTTTTTTTATAACTTTTCAAACTTGAAAATTCCCTAACAGACGAAGCGTAGTCGAATGTTAGTGTTTTATTCCATCAAAAAAAAAAAAACAAATGAACTTTGAAAAGACGTAGAAATAAAAAAAAATCAATTTATAATGAAATTTCACAAAATAACAGCGTTTTCAATTAATTACATTATTTTTTTTTTGACTTCAACAGAGATAAAATTCCACAATAGTGGAAATTTTTAATAACAAATTTATATGTCATATTGTTAAATAAACAAACGAATAAGTAAATATGTAAATA